AACGTCATGGTCATCATAACGTCATGATGATGGTTTTAGACTTGTTACTATTATGTTCCAAAATGTTACGTGTCTATATGCATTCGAAAGAGCATACAATTATTGATGTCTAGCGTCATAGATTGATTAGAGGTCAAGGGTATGGAGGGATACACATTGAATACTCGTTATACTATTGATGTGTCATTTGTGCACTCTGGATTGTGACATGATACACGGATTCACGATTTAATTCTACATTACACTATTGAACTTTATTTTTGCACTATAGTTTTGCACTCGTAACTCTCGTCACTTGCGAGCCCTACTGCACGACATTTCCAATGCTAGCCAATCGTTTTTTAAAATATGGGCCCTAAGTTTGATTGCTTTAGCGTAATCCACTCGGATAAGATTAAATGAAACGGTAATCGAAGGAACGGAGCTGACCGTTTCTTAAGGACACCAACAAACAAAACAGATCCGTGGATCAGTGACCGAGATTGGCAACAATAAGTGCTGGCAGCACAACGATCGCGTTGAGACGCTAGTACAATTTTTGTCAGCAAAAAAAAAAAAAAAAAAAAAAACGGGCGAGTCGTTGCCCTAGATTGTAAATATCCAAAAATAAATTTCTTTAAGAAACTTAAAAATCGTCCGTTGTCCACATAATTCTACAAGAAACTATGCGTACACATAGTTTGAGTACATTACTGTCTTGCAATGAGGGTAATGCAATGTTCATTAATACATTATTGCTTGTAACATGTTGGCTTGAAAGACAGCCAAGCGAATATTATTTGCAATTCTGGCGATATATTCTGTTATCAAAAATGTTAGAAATATACAGGGTGAGTCTCGTAACGTGACGACATCAAATAATTCATAAAATATTTGTTGTACGAAAAAATGTTTCAGATAAAAGTTGCATGGCTTCCATTAGTTTTATGTTATTTTGCTTTTTCATCAAGATTTTCATGAAGGTCACTTTTAATTTTTTAAATAGGATAGTTAATTCCATTAAAACAACAATTTAACATGTAACATACACTCGACCGTGGATTCCCAAATATTTCGTTGATTAAAAGTATTTGTACATTTGAATATGATTTTTTAATATATACAAGTTGAAAAAATGCTAGTTAAAATAAACAGGTATTTTTATTTTATATATTAAGAAATAAAATTATTTTATATTATATATTTAATATTTTATAATAAATTATATATTTAATATTTTATTTTATATTAAGAAATAAAATAAAAATGTTATTCTTGGAGCAATATCTTTATTTTCCTGCGAATACAGATTCGTTATGTGTATGTATACTTGTCTTAACAATACATTCATAAATAGGTGAATAGATATAACATTTACACGCGTTTCCCTCTCTTCCTTTTCTGTTTTTAATCGATTCAAATATACATAAATGAAGTTCGATGCTCAACAATCGACGAGTTAATCGTCTCATTGACAAAACATATGTTTCATTATGTTTGGTATTAGTACAAAAGAGAAACGTGTTAGATTAGAATAGAGTATAACGAGACTAGCGAGTCAATCGTTCATTGCATTTATTCACCGATCACAATCAAAGTTTCCTTTTTCTTTTTTTCGTTTTTCTCTTTCAGATTGCACTTCAGTTATATTAAAATTAATTCTACTCGACAGGTCGAGTTTTACAACGACGTTTTCATCGATTTCTAGAGATCATAAGAAGAGAAAAAGACAATAAAATAAAATGAAACAAACTAAAGCTTAAGAAACTTTTCGTTGAACCATTGAAAATTTATCAAAAAAGCTAAAATTACTTCTCATTCTAATGGAGATTGAGTTTTCATAAATAAATTTAAATATCTTAACACTTTAATACATTATCCGTATGTCGAGCTTTTGCCAGGATTTAATTAACGATCGATTTTCTTTCGTGTTTGTCTCGCAAATGATCGGATGGTGTATGTTCGATATCACTGGAAAATTATACGTCTCGGTGTAATTTATCTTCTTTCCACCGACAACGTTACAATTACATACAATTACATATTACGATTTTTAATTTGCTTAAAGACGAACGTTTTGAGAAACGTTCTTTTAACATAACGAGCAGTACACGTAACCGTTGTTAGACGCTGAAAACTATATATACAAATTCTACTGACAATTACTTAAATCCTACAAGATGATTATGCTACTTACATATATTAAAAGAGAAATTTCTTCTTCACGAAATATTTATTATTATAAACCTTCCTTTTTATTCCGGAAAAATAATTTTTCAAGGATATTTTCGAGTTTTTGTTCTTCTTGCAACCTTATGATACCTCTGCGATATCTTTTCGTCCTCATTTTACTTTCTTTCACTATTTTTATTTTATAGTAGTAGAATTTTTCTTATACGAACTTGTTTACATAATTGTTCATTAATTGGAGTTCATATTAATCTCAATTAAATTGTTTATATAAATTGGAATTCATGTTAATAGAAATCCACTGATTTTCCACTGGTTTATACAAGGTGTCCTGTATTTTAATTGTTCAAGTCACTATTTTCTAGACTATTGATTGTTCAAGAAGAAAGTTGTACCAAATAAAACTTGTTTTAATGCCCTTAGATTTGTCTTTGATGCCACTTCTGAATTTTTTCGAAATGAATTTTCATTTTTGCCAATTATTCCTTCAAATATTTAAAAACTGATTCTATATTAAAGTACAAATTTCAATAAGGAATTTCAATAAGAAATTTCCTATTTCTAGGAATAAAATTTCAATAACGAATTCTTTTAGACTCTTTAAAAGTAAAAACCGATAAAAATGATTGGTCGTGATCGTGTAAATCTAAATTGCCCGCGGAAGATCCGAAAAAGTATGATTGCCAGCGGAGGATTAATTAAATTTTTATAAAATCTATTGCGCGAAAAACAGGGACATTATAAATACAAAAATATCATTCCTATTTTTCCTCGTCTTTTATGCAATAGATTTTACAAAATTAAGGTTCAAATATCTTCTAAATTAATAATTCTTTGGAGTACACAGGTTAATACCTTTTTTTATAAAGAATATTAAGCTAAATAAAATATATTATTCTGTTTTAAGAAATGGAGACGACCTTGAGATTTTGGAAACGCTTTCATCGAGACAAAATTTGATAGTCATCGTATGATCGTTTTTTTTTTTCGAAATAAGTTCTGCTTAAAACATTTTCTGCGATAATGAACACATTGGGAAATGATTGCGTGGAAAGATTAAAATAGGACACTGTATAATAGAACTCCAGGTTCAAATAAGTGGATTTATTGAGTGAGTTGATTTCACGAGTTCATTTAATTCGATACTAATTAAAATTTGATTCAATTAAATGAAGTTCGTGTAAACGAAATTCTACTGTACTAAAAATGATTCTATCTTTCACAATAAAGTTGAACAAAAATGTGCGTACATAAATTCTCCTTCTCATTCTTTTTCTTTTTTTGTCTTTTTAAAGATAACCATCGGTATAATACATTAAAATATAAAACAATAACAAGTTCTGATATATTATAGCGAAACAATAAACGACGATGAACATAAAAGTAACAGTAAAGCGTTACAAAATGATAATGGAAAATATACAAATGTCGATTGTTCGTAGAATCTTCAAAAGAATGCATAATACATCGGATATTCTCTCATTCATTCTTTATACAAAATCTTCTTCGGATTTTGTATAAAATGGAAATATTTGAACAATTATTCACCAAAATTAATGTCACTACAATATACACTATAATATGTTTATATTAAACGTATGTATATATATATATATATATATATTAGACAATAATATTAATAGTCGAAATACGACTATTATTTTTATTTTATTCTTGAAAAATTTTTTCGCATGTTTGTAATTATTTTATGGAAACAAAAGCAAGAAAAAAAAATATATATATATATATATATATAAAGAATTAGAACATGAAACTGTAAATGAAATAATGTTATGGGAAATGTCGTCGAAATTTTCTTAACTATTTTACGTTCTAAATAAGATTTCTAATGCTTCAATGTGTATAATATTGCGTGTATATCTGCGTGTATAATACGCGTATCATTACATATAATTACTGTACAATACTATTATCCTCTTTTTACACGATACACATACATGAAAAAGTAATACGTGCATAAGCTCGTGCGTATGAGCTCATATTTTCTCTGTAAAAATATATATATATGTATATATGAATATTTGTAAATATTCATTTAAAACTTACAATAAAATGTCTTCGCGTAAGGAAAACGTATGGACGGCAGAAGTATGGACCGCGTTTCGATCGCATATATTAATATAAATATAAAATTAAAGGAATACGCTTTCAAAGAAATGAAATTTTGTTTCAAAGAAATTATGATAAATTATGTTAGTTATTTAACGTAAATGATGTACTGAAGATATTTATACAGAGTGTCCCGTATTTCAGTTCGTCTAAACTTTGCCATATCAAATAAGATTAAAATATCATGTAGCAAAATGTAAAAAAAAATATTACGTATGAAACGTAAAGCTGTACATACTTGTATATACATTTTGAATTATTCCATTTATCAATGCAAAATTGATATTGAATTTATTGTAAACCGAATTTCATAATAATTTTGTCGAATTTTTTTTTCTTCACTCATTTGATTCTTAGTAGTCAATTTGTCTTCTGTAGATATTTCTGTGTAGGCTTTTGCTTCTGTAGTTTCCCATAAGTAGAAATCTTTTCATAAATATCTCTGCATCTTGTTCTATTCTGTGTTAAAATAAAAGATCTATTTGTTATATTTCATTATTTTTGTTATACCTTTTGTTATACTATGAAACATTTAAGAACTTTTCGTTACATGATATTTTAATTTTATTTTTATTTATAAAAACAAAAAAGTTTGAATACTAAGTTACAGGATATGCTGTATATATACATAACTGGCCAAATCTTTATATGATTCATTGAACTCAAGAATTGGAAACAGATGAGATTCCGTTTTTTTTAAAAACTCTTTTTACTCGAGAGCAAAATAAATTAGAAACTTAGCTTTACAAATGGAAATATGATTGAAATTTCTGACCAGAGATGTAAATATACTGAAAAGTGGAGCATCCAAATCTTACGAGCATACATTTAATTAAAAATTATAAAAACAAGTGAAGGATCTTAACAAAAACGAGCACAAACTATCATTGCTGTGATAGTTACATAATAGTTTCAATTACAAACCTCTAACAGAATATAGATTCTATTGCGTGTTCATCGAATTACTGACTATTCATGATCAATTATTATAAAATCGGATACATAATACAGTACTATATAATCGCAGATAAACATATGATATCATAGTACTAGAATTATCGACATTTTTATCAAAAACATAAAATTTCTATCAGAGATATAAAGTAAAAAAATGAGGAAACTTTATATACAATGGAATTCACAAGCTTTCACTTATACATTTGATCACTTTGTCAGTTCTAGTGTTAAGCAGCAATAAACACATTTTGTCGTTTTTACATTACAATGGATTTATTATTTTGTTAGAGACTCATAATTGACAACATTCTATGACTTTGAAACTAATCACCTTTGCCAAACTGGATTTAAATTAAAGATTTGTTGCTTATTTTGATAATTACTGTATGTCCTTGAAATTTGACGATAGGATTTTTTAACACTCTGTATATTTATAGATATGTACATAATTATCATTTTCTTTTCTTGAGATTTCTAGATGTAAGACAACTACTAATAAAATAGTACTTGGAATCCCGTGAATAGAAAGATGATTAAATTTGAATTTAATTACAGATCGTAATAATAATAATAATAATTTTATCAGATATTGTATTTAGCAACGATAATAGTGATAGCGATAATAATGATTCGATGTGAATAGTGACGATCTGCTCGCATGCAATGAATAAACTGCTTAGAGAATAGGTGCAAATAAAGTGTATGTAACTAATTCTATACGATGGACAATTATCATACAAATATCTTTTTTTTTTTAGGAACTTGAAATTCTGTGATATTCAATCGAATTCGAATGAAATTCAAGATCAAGCAAGATCAAGATCTTAAGAAGAAAGTCAATAAAGAGTTTATCGATTATTGCTTTGTACACTTTTAACAAATAGACATTTCTCGATCAATTGTTCGTAATTAGTTGAAAATCTTTATAATCTCTGAGTCACTAAAATTCTTCATTTTGTTGAGAATATACTATTTGTTATTTTTCTAGCTTCGTTTGTGATATGTTTTGCCTTTATAAGACAAAGATTAATAATGAAATAAAATATATATAGACTATGTATATGTAAAATATATTTGATAAATTAATTCCAAAATTTGACTGGAATATCGATCCTTAAATTTTTTTCCTTTTAATGTAGTATGAATATTTGTTTGATAATAATAATAATTAATGATAATTATAATATTTTTTGTACATGAGTATATAAATAATATAAAGTTAATTGAAACCACATGTTGATTCTTAATAATAGTTGATGGGTGTGATTTTGGAATACTCTTATTTCCAAAAAAAGAAAGAAATTTATATATATAAGTATATATACAAGTATTATATGTGCATTGAGCCATCTTGAAAATTTAATCGTTAAATTTAATTCATTTTGTACAATATGTTACAGTGTCGTGGTTACCATGTTTTCATGTTTTCTATAAAAAAAAAAGTAATGAAAACTTTAAATTGCCACCCATCAACTAACATTCATATGCTTTCAATGCAAAAGAGCACGTATACTATTTCTAACGTCGAAATGAAAATTATAAATTTCATTATATTTACTGCTTGAGTCTGTGAGACCTATTCGTTCCTATTGATCATCATAGTCTTCACGCTACACGGTACACCGTAATAACATATAAAATACAATTATAGATTTATTTGATATGTATATATAGATATATTAGCAAATATATATATATATATAATTTCATAGTTTGAGACTAAATGGAGACGGAATATGTTACGAAGCTGCAAGTAGGTCCTGCTGTATAAATATTCAACGATTGTTCGAAAAGAAATGTAAACTCTTCGTGTCAAATTCTCTGTGAATCATTAACAAAGCAATCATTCGTCGCAGTCACGATAAAAGTACAACGTGTACTCTGAATAATCAACACCGTGTTTGTTCTTACAGATATTCTGCAAAAGAAAGATCAGAAGGAAAATGGAGTTACAATATTTATAAGAGGAAATATTTAATTTGAAATAGTAGAATTAATTACCTCTTGAGGTTGTACAGTAGGCACGCGAAACCTCAACGTTTTCCTAAGATAATGAGCAACATCGAGAGGGAAAGATTGATCTCCTCGTTGATTGTTACTTTCAATATCGATCTTTAGTCGAGCCTGCTGTTGTATCGTGTATTTTCGGCCGCAGGTTAAAGATTCATCGATGCCAGGACTAATCGGGGAGGAGCACTGTTGCACTACTTGACCGTACCAAGACATCCCACTGAGTTAAAAATAAAATTTATAATCATAAATGTGGAACATTCCAATGTGACGACGTACGTTAAATGCACCCTGGCTCATTTTGTGTCTTATTTTATTACTCTTATAGATCAAACATTCATTCTCTTTCACTTACATTTTTACTTATTTCATTGCAATTAGTAATACTATGTAAAAGAATTATGGATATAACATCTTACATGAAATGTAACGTAAGTTGAACATCTGGCATATATTTGGACAGAGGAATGATGCAAGATATATTATTCGGTGTATCCTGTGAGGACGCGGAACAATACTTTTGATCGAGTGAAGTATTGAAGCTTTCTGCTACTATCCATAATTGTGGCTTTGGTTCTGGTGGTAATGATCCTGCAGCGTTACTGGCGACTTCTGCCCAATCTCCACTACCGGTTTCCCTTCTTGTCCTTTTAGGCGGATATTTGTAATTATTCTGTGACAAATAAAATCATTTTTTACATCTGTAGAATTTTCACAGTTAATTGATACTTACTTCTTTTACCTCTTTTACAAGTGTCTGCGTGTTTAGATCGGATGGAAGCCTGCCATTTTGGAAGCTTTTGCTTATTTTACGTTTTTCCTCGAATACATTCAATGGTTGTTCTATGTGATCTGCTAAAAAATGAAATCATATCTTCTTGTTTACATACGTTAACAATAAAATACTTCTTCTTAATGTTTTATTTATTATTGTTATTATTATTATTTCATAATAAGCAAGAACCGATTAATTTTCGTTTCAAACATTTTTTCATTAAGTTATCAGAAGTGCCTACAAAATTGTGAAGATTATTTTACTGAAGATTATGTATATGCACGTATATAATATAATGTATATACATATTAATAATAATGTTACATTATACATATAAAAATATAATATTATATTCATATATAAATATTAATATCTAAGGTATACATGAACTATCATATTACATATCACCTTGAATGTATGAAAAATTATCTGGATAAAAATTGTTCAGAAAGGGCTATATATAACATATGACATGACAGTAATAATTTTGTTATAGCTGGAGAAGTTGAAGATCATTTCAAAGTCATCTTTATTTTTTTAAATTGAATGATATTGTGGTTCCATTTGTGGTTCCATTAATCGATGAAGCTTGATATTCTTTATAAGAAAAAGTATCAATCTATATGTGCTTTAAAACTGCTAATTTGAGAGATATTCTAACTTTAATTTTCTGTAAAATCTACTCTATGAAAGATGAGGAGGGACAGGAGTGATATTCTTATGCTCATACTGTCCTTGTCTTTTATGCATAAATTTTATAAAATTGGAGTTAACATATCTCTTAAATTAACATACATAGATTATATTTTTATAAAGAGTGTCGTGCTGCGTTGATTAATGTATCAAAGAATATACTATTTCATTTTAAAAAATGGTAGTGACTTGACTTCCACTCCTCCACAAAAAAATCATTATGTACTGCTGCATTACGGCCAGCTTAATACAGAATAATTTTTATTAACGAAAGTTTCATATCTTCAAAAACAACGAAGATATTCAAGTTACGTGTTCATCTTATATATTATGATACACATATTCTATAATATTATAATATTAACATACATTGATATAATTTATATATAATTTTCGTTTTCATACGTTTAAGAAAGAAATGTGCGACTTACAAATTGATTTCTTTTCCGGAGGATGATCAGGTTGAGGTTCCTCAAACTGATGAATCTTGGTTGTACAACAGAATATCTAGAACATTATTATGTTTTACACATGTTATATACTGAATAAGACGAAACAAGTGATTTAATCGAGAAAGCTTTACCCGACAAGGATTTTCAAATTCGCTGAAGTGCTTGGGACAATTCGACGGTCTGCCTAATGGAATTGGACCCTTGTTCAAAGATGACTCCACTTCCGATCCTTGATCGTTTTCATCCACGTTACTAGGAATAGCACCGGCGCCATGTCTACCCAACCAGTTCCCAGGAAATTCGCTAAAATAATTTAATACACGTTAAAATATTCATAATGAAGTTTGAAGGAACAGAGGTTTTAATAATTATTTATCAATAATAAGGTGATAAAAATTTTGATTTTGAAATTATTTTAGAAAATTGAAACTATTAATAGTTACAAACCTATTTTTTTCAAGTTTTGATTGTGGCCCAGAATGACTAATAGGATACCAAGTAATTTCTTGAGAGTAAACCTGTTGCTTGGTCTGAGGCGCTTGCGTAGAAAACGCGTTGCTCTTCACGGACAAACTACTGTCCAAGCCTCTGCTATAGGATCCATGTTTAGTATACGAGGATGATAATGTACTACCTAACAACGAATTGTACCGAGGATCGTAATTAGGCGTGCTCGATGCTGCAGAAGGATGAGCTGGTCTGATAGCCAACATTCCATTGCTGGCTACCGCGGTCCATTCGAGGCTGCTACGTTTCTGATATTCTAAGAAATATAACGTCGCCATTGCCACTAAGCTGCAATGTAAAAAAACGATTCGATTAAATACTATGGCGATTAATTTGTTACAAGAATATGCTTGCGCATAATAAAATTTGAATTACCAGAACGCCATGATGAGGATAAGTATAACAATGATAATTTGAATAAACTTATTGCTGCAGAGAAGCTCGTCCTCCCGTTCGCATTTCTTTCCTTTTCCCTGTACAGTGGTCTTGTTATTGATAGAGGATGAGTATTTGTTACTTGATATACTAGAGATTGTACTAATCGAACTTTTTAGACTATCGCCCCTTTTCAGCTTCGCCAACCGTTTATTTATTCGCTCCAGTTGATCTATGCGAGTTTCCAAGCTATCCGTCACCTGGAAATTTTTACAAAATCACAAAAACGATACATTAACGACAAGTTAAGATAATAATGGCTAAAGTCGATAAGAATATAAAGTCAAAAAATAGAAGAGAAGAAAATTGAAAGATAGAAAGATTAGATAACCATCTTACTTTACACAGTTCTTTCACAGCACCGACATTCTCCATGAATATCCTCTCCTTATTCACCAGCAGAAAATTCTCGATTCTCTGGCCATTTGGAAGGACAATGTCTCCAGCAGGCAACACAGCTTCCGGTAATATCTGCTGCACTTCCTGCGCAATGACACCCGTGTCTTCTTGCTGTTTGATACCCAGACCGGAATGTTGCGCAAATTCTGGCGCGTATCTGTAACGAACCACTCTCAGCTGTTGCACATTTCGCAATTGCTCACGCGTGTCCACTTCCTGTACGTTTTGTTTCGCTCGTGCATCACTGGGTTGGACAATATGGCCAGTCACCTGTAAACATTAATCATTAGCTACGTTTCCCTTGTTTAATTAGGTCTGTTAGGGTATCGTAAGTAAATAACATTACCTTCATATTGCCATGAACAACCAGAGCTTCGTCAGGCCTGTCGGTGTTAATTCCAACTCGACCAGTATGATAAACACTGTCCGGTGCTGCTCCTCTTTGCCAACCACCCTCGCCGCCCACGCCACTGCCTTCCGACTCGAATTGACCGGGGTTACTTGCCTGCATCGTTTTTATTTCATGACAGTTTCTTTCTAATCATTATATATCCATTCCTCGATTTAGCCTATGTGTGTTAATTGAGTATTGTACGGCGGCAAAATTGTTGTCATACGACCAATCGAGAAACGAACGAAGCAAATTCTATGATCACGTTCAAATTTGCAACGTTTAAAACGTGGCAACGAAACAATTTTTCTTAAAATTGTTCACCTTATTTGCAATCGAAGACATTTCAATTAAAAAAAAAAAAATAGTTCTTGCTGATTAATAATAGTTATGATCTCTGATTTAAACAAAACTTATGCTGCACTGCACTCCGCGCAGAGTTGACAAACGATATCAACAACTTGCCCCTACCTTTGAGGCTCAGAAACCTCCGAAACCGATGAAAAGGGAAGCGAGAGTGACTTTTCCAATTTTCCATCAGCTCAGGATAATAACTAACAGTTCGCTTACCAGGAAGAAATCGTTTTACCTCCAATCGAATAGATCACTTTTTGAGCATTTTTTGATAGTTTGAGAGTAACATTGCATTAAAGTCGGAGGAACTTCCTTGATAGCTTAGCGCGCAGTATTTATTAGTGCACTATATAAATGTATATATAATATGTATATATAATGTACTATATAAAATCATGATTTTCATTCGGTTTTTTACATCTTAATAAACGAGTACACCGCGCGCGAGAGTCGTATTATCGTCCGACCAACTAGTGTCAGTTGATCATATGATTTTTAGTGCCGTATGATACTCAATTTCGTTTAACGCAGTACTTTTTTACACGGACTTTTTATATGCAGTTTCAATTTACGTGATCTCATTTTACATGGACCTTTTCCCCCTCTTCCATTAGGTATTGATAATTAGTCTTTGTAAGAAACAATAGTTTAATTCAGCAAAATATTAAAAATATTTACTAATTTACTAACATATGATTCGCCATTGATTTCTTTATAAAAATATATAAAATAAATCTTTTTATAATTTATTGGTTTTTTTAAATTATTTTTTTCGTATTAACTTTTTCTATGCGGTTCTTTTTCGTGAAAGAAAAAAAGAACTGCGTGGAACGGATAATTTGCATAAATCGAGGGATACATTCAAATGTATAATGTATATTTGAACATTTCTTTGAACATTCATCATAAATAGTATAAATATAACTTTGTATAAAATACTTTTATGAATGCATAGAACTTTATGAATAACTTTGTATAAACTTTATGAATGCATAGAATGCGCATAATATGTATTAACTATCTAAAGTACAGTACTTGTCGTAATATTTGATAGATGAGACAAATTTCATTTCGTTAATTATATTCAGAAAAATATAAAAATGTATAAATATCCATAGTATAGCTATAAAATAAAAATAAATAATAAGATTGAAGTGATTTTTTTCTTCACTAACTAAACATTCTATTACGACATTTTCTGTCGGATTTAAAATTTACAACTATCTCTATAAATCAACTCCTCTGAGTGCTTACTGAAATTACCAAATGTTCTAAATGTTCAGTAACAAACGAGGGACATGTAACAAAAATTAAAAATTAAGAATTCGTCTGTAAACGTACCTTTCGATACATTTATTCAACATATTGTAATATGTTATCCATTAATGAAATTAATTATTTTAAGCATTTTAAATTATTTGTGCGATACTTTTATACGGATTAAATTAAGAATTAAATTTAGACGATATTATTTTGATGGTTTAATTACCCTGACGATTATTCTTTCGGATGCATGAGCTACCACCTGATAGCTAGCTTGATCAGCAGTGTGAGCATGCAGACCGACAACCAAATGGAAATATCTTTGATCTGGATTCGGTTTCCCTTTCTTTCGCATGTTGTTACTAGTCGTCTCGCTGAAGTGAAGACGTCCAACAGTTACCTTCGTAACACGCTCGCCGCCTAGTTCCACCCTGAAAGCAGCTCTATTTTAGTGTAACGTAACCACTTTGATCATTTTCGTGGAAAAGATTAGCTAAAATTTCGCACCAAAGATTCCGAAACGTTTTTGCTTCATAATTTCCATTGTATCATCATATTAAAACGTGAAACGAAAGAAGAATAGTGCACATTGATTGATTGATTGATGGATCATGTGGATTTTCGTTGCCTGTGTACTTACGTCACTGGATGGAATGGTTTCTTGCTCCTGTCGCTTTGACTTTGCTCGACTCTGATCGTTTGCGTCGGAGACTCGACTTTGACACCGTAAAAATGCAATTGGAAGCTACTTATTTTCTTCAAACCTTCGCCAGTTCGAACGAATATAGCTTCGCCTTGAAGCTGAGCGTGACAAGTTATCTGAAGATATTTACATATCAATATAATCACATTTGGTGTTTCTAGTGTCTTCGATAATGTAACAATAATAAATAACGTTATTGTTGAAAATAATTGTTTAATGTAATATGATTATTTTTTTCTGCTCTTCTAGTCCTTAACAGTGTAAGAAAAATATACACTTGTTGATAAAAATTAAGAAACAGAAGTATATATAAATTGGAAATAAAAATAACGTGAATAGGTGATATATATTACTACATTATAAAATACAAGTATTTTTTGGAATCTACTTTTATAAAGGTCACAGTTAATATTGAAACAAAAAAAATCAATCAAAATCCTTGCAACAAGAGTTAAGAAATATAGTGCTTGATTTGTATAATCATCTTTAATAAAAACAATAGCATGTAATAAATATTTGTAATCCCCGTGGAGTTTTAGTGCAGATTTTTATAATTACATGGTACTGTGAGGCATTAATTCAATTAATTGAATAAAAGTCAATCAATTTTTTTGTAACTTTTTTCCATTAATTATATTTTATTGATGAAAGAACAAACTCTCAATTGACGTTTGAATTTTATAAGTGTTTTTGGATTTAAGCCTGGAGACCAACTTGACCCTCTATAATATTTTGTAGCATGAAAAGTGTTTTAATTACTTTGGAAGAACCAATTTAGAATTTTATTTATCGTATAAATATTGTCATTATAAATATCTAGTCGAAAAAATTTTAATAATATATAATTTATTATATGTATATTACATTTTTTAATAATATATAAAAAATATATAACTTAAATGACAATATAATTTAATAACATTATAAAGAGTATTATTCAGTATTGTTTCGTTAAATTCTTTGTATGTTTCATAGCAGTCAAAATATTATTTATAAATAGTACTAGTAATAGTACTAAAAATATTATTTATATATAGTACTAGTAATAGCAAATCAATAGTAAATATTATTTTAAATAGTAAATAGTAAATAAACCTATTTATTTTAAAATGCGAGTATGAGCTTGAGCTATTAAACATTTCATTTGATAGAGTAAGTTTTCAAAATATTCAGTTTTTAAAATATTTATCAATTTCAAAATATTTCAATTTAATATTTTACTTAAGGAATATTGAAAATTTTTGGATTTTATCTTGAAATATTTTATTTATTTTAATTTGTTTTCATTATTTTAAATAATGATTTACTGAAAATAATGATTCACATTCATACATATACATATTTTTGAGTATAAATAGTTTCCTAATCTTCTTTTATAAAGTGGTACATATCTTATATTGAAAGGTTAATTTCTTTCAATACCTTGACGATGGAAACTCTTAAATTTTATTTATTTTAGAACAAAAAACGAATCGAAAATACCGCATTACTTATGAAATGACCGGATACTTCAAGCAAGATTATTTATTTCACGTTTCAAAAACTATTAAACTCAAATATTTCATTTCATATTTTGAATTATTAACATAACATAATTTATTTCGCGATTCAGATCGTTAAAATGAGAATATTTTATTTGCCAGAATTTCACATCCTGCTTAAAATACTGTTTCATTTAAGCTGAACAGAATATAACAGAAGGCATGAAATAGTATTTTTGAAATATTCATTTCTCTGAACATTACCTGAAAGTGATTTTTCTTCTGACATACGAATGCGTCATCGGAATTGCTGAAATTGAATCCCTTGTCCGCGTCGACCCGATAATGAGGCACCGGAAGTTCCTTCAGATTATGATCGCAGAGAACGTGCCAGGAAGTTTGCTGAAAGGGATGAAATCGGATGCACTGGTAACTAGCGTCTATATAGCTATTATCGGCCACTTCGTCGCTGTCGATAACTGCACTGCTGCTACTGCAGCTATGCTCCACGGTACCCAATTCAGGTTCCTGAAAAAAACGACAATATATCAGAGCAGAGAATTTTTTTTATAATTTCTTGCAACGTAGATGTGATAAAAAGAAACATAATGTTCGGGCCATTTTTTAGTATTTCAGTCGCGAAAATTATTTTGCGTAAAGGACGTTAGGCTTCTCGTCCACAATGAATCTATTACTCTATTTTTATAAAGTAATGGCCCTAACGGTCTATCATGAATGTTATGGCACGCTATTTATAATACATTACTTATTGTCTTATTCCCGGCGTATCTGGTGTTTTTGTAACGGTTGAGATCAATCACATTATTGATGATTAATTTCACCGTTTTCGGGGTGATCAAACGATATATGGAGCTTCAAAATGATATTTTAACATTTCTATAAAACAAGCCCATAACTATATGATTTTACCGTTTTTCTATATTTTTTTTATGTATATTTGTACTCTAAGAATGTAGAAAATGCATTTGCAATTGATATGAAAATGAAGATTATAGGGACAAAATATAATCAATTCATTTAATTGAATATTGATGTTAATTATGTCATAGTTATATTATGTTATGTTACTTGGTAACAATATAACATAATAAATATAGAACTTTTAAAAATAAATTCAGCGAATTCATGAAAAATATATTTTAGATCCTTTTTAGATAAAAAAATATAGTGTCAATTTGAAAATTAAGTCAATATCAAAATTAAAAATACAATTTTGATGATATATATATACATTAATGAGAAGTGATGTTACTCTCCTGTAAAATAAAAAATATAATTATGAAATTATAATATTGTATACTCGATATTAATAAAGATATCGTTTATCATATTTTCCCCCTACAGTCTTTCAGTCACTATTTATTTTAGTATAATCGTAACAGTAAAAAAATTTTACTCGTTGCACCTGCTTCACATGGACAAGACCATCCTGGCTTAATTTTCTTTTCTTGGGCGCCGATTGTAGCGACGAATATAATGTGTTCATGTTACCAGGACTATGCTCGTGTGGTAGAGGTACTAAAGTCTGTCCTATTTGCTGCTGCGATTGAATATTTGGTGTTCCTGGAGCGAGATGAGGCGTCAACACAGTTTGAGTTAGTAGCATCGAATCCGTAGAAGATGTTAAAGCCCTTTGCGAGGACGGTAATAAATTTGGTGCATAATTTGCCTGATTGCCTTGATGATGAAGAAGCATTTCTTGAAGAGCTACCTTTTGATCTGCAATTGTATATAAGTTTTATATACAGCGAGCAACGAAAGTATTCGAACGTCATGGTAGAACATAATTGATTATACAAAAATTGTATAATAAATTGCAATTTATTGAAACAAATTGTTTTTATACTATTGTATATACATTTGCTAAATGTATGCAAAGTTGGAGAAAAATTAAACCATAAGTAAAAAAAAATTACATAACATTTTTCACATATAAGGTATAACAAAAGTATTCGAACGAAATTTTAATAGTCATGATAGAATGCAATATATGTGATTATATTGCATTTTAATATCTAGTTGGTTCACCCTTGGCTTTAATAACCCAAGTCTCGAAGACGATTTTCTATACTATTGACTAACTTTGACTTTTTGGTAACTCTTGAATCCATAGAGTGCCACGCTGCTAGGACATTTTATTTTAAAGAATCTTTACTCGTTATAATATTTCTTTTAAGTCTCCTATCGAGTTCTTTCCATAAATGTTCGATGGGATGGGTAATGTACGGAGTACATTATCTAAGATCCATTCTTGTACTATTTTGGTCGTATGTTTGGGGTCTTGGTCCTGCTGAAAGCAAAAATTTCTTGACACATTTAATTTTTCAGCACTATTGATTAAATTTTCTTTTGAAATACTTAAATATTTAGTTTTATCCATGATTCCATCGATGAATACGAGATTTTCAGGCCCATTAGCGGACATGCAGCCCCATACCATTACGGAGCCTCCATCATGTTTCACTGTAGACTTCAAATTTTTTGAATCCAACTCCTTATTTCGCTTCCTCCATATTATTCTCTTACCATCGGACCCAAATAAATTGAATTTACTTTCATCCGAAAAAATAACAGTGTTCCAAAAATTTATGTCCTTATTTATATACTCTTTGGCAAATTTTAAACGAAGTAATTTATTCTTCTTGCTAATATATGGTTTCTCTCGTAAGATTGTACCATGGAAATTGTTTTTCCATAACATTCTTCGACATAATTGGGCGTGTATTTCTTTATTAAAGTTTGTAACAACCATTGCTGCCAATTTTAGAGCAGATGTAAACGGATCTTTCTTTATTTCACGCAGAAGCAATTTTTTCCTCCCGCGGTGTTAATTTTTTTAGACGCCCAGATCTTTGATCATTTGCAATATTTCCCTTCGAATTATACTTTTTTATTATATAATGAATTGTTGATTTGCTTCTGCTTACAAGAGAAGCAATTTCTTTATATGATTTACCTTCTTTGTACAATACAACAATAATTTACTTGTTTCTGATGTTTTACCACTCATTATTTTGAATTACAGGTTGACGTTTAACTCTCAAATACTGTTGGAAATACACTGAAGATCTTTTGTTTACATTTAGACCTTGCGTCTTGTGTTTACAATGTATAATGTTTATAATTCAGCGTTCGAATACTTTTGTTATGTCTCATATGTACTTACCCGTGAAAAATGTTATGTAATTTGTTTACTTATTGTTTAATTTTTCTCTAACTTTGCATATATTTAGCAAATGTATATACAATAGTATAAAAATAATTTGTTTTAATAAATTGCAATTTATTATACAATTTTTGTATAATCAATTATTTTCTATCATGCCGTTCGAATACATTTGATTGCTCACTGTATATATATATAATATTCATAAAATATTTTAATTATAATCGAAAATATAAATAACTCCAAAAATGTAGATTAAATAAATATTCTAAATGGAAATGTTGAATAGTATTTCTTATCTGAATTAATAAATTAAAAAAGTGTATGGTTAATTGAATTTTGGATAATAAAACTACCTTTCTGATATTAAATTGCATATGTTCAAATGGAGATCAAGAAAATTATCAGTTTGTTTCAATATTTAACACTGGATTTTATCTTTTTGCAATTGTTGAAAATATAAGGATATTTATGTTAAAATTAAAATATTGATTTCCGTTTAAGCAGATATATATTACATGTTATATATGTTATATTAACGAACATGTGTAATTGTATAGATTTATTTATTTTAATTATCATCATTTAAATTGTAATTTATAGAATATCTTGATATATATTAGAAACTGATAGTTTTAATATTAAAATGTTATATTTCTTTCTTTTTTTTTTAATTTTCTAATTTTTAGCATAAGTAAATACAGTAACATTTTTTTCGTAGTTCGAACCATCCTCTTTAAATAATTCGAATGTTTTAGTATAAGGAAACACATAATTTTCACGTGAAAAAATTATTTTCCACCCGGAGAAATGAAATCTATGACATGTACGATATGTTCATCATTTATAAACAAAATGTTGATTTATGATAGAATTAAACATGATAAACATAAATTCTTAAACATTTCATATTGCTTTTCTTTTTTAGTGAAATCTTGTATTTGTGACCTTATATTTTAGTAATTTCTTTATGTAATTATAAAATAATGTAATACAGTATAAAAACATCTATTACTAATATCTCAATGTTTTGTTTGAATAATGAAATGTTCAAATAGTAGAACGTTCGAATATTAGAGTAAAACAGGGGTTCGGATATGAATGAAACTACTAAATAAGTATAAAACAACTTAGTATGGAGTTTTCTCCAAATATTACTGGTATGCATATAGTAAAAAATTAGTATAAAATATAGAAAAATAAATAGAAACATTAATTGATTTAATATCGTTGGACTTAAAATATAGTTGAATTTTTGAATAAAATTCGTGATCTTACGCGGTGAATGTACATGTTGTGTATCGTTGTGACCTGGCGGTGAATATGGTGGTTCGCTGCCACTATCGGGTGGGCTTTCTGGTAATGCATGTCTGAAACAAAGCATTCAGATAAAATTTTTAACAATTCTAAATAATTAAGAAATTAATTTGTAAGTAAAGTAATTTTACCAATTATGAATGAGCATAAATACCATTAATAATATATTTATTATGCGACAGAACTCCCATTTGTATTTCATTTCCTCCGTTTACTATTATTCGAAAGATTCACGAGAAAAAAGAAGAGTATCAAGTTTTAATATTTCTTAGGAAATGAAAATTTATTTTCCAATATTATAATGTCATAACTTTATATTTCCTCATATATAAAAATAAGTATAAAGCTAAGAAAATTTTAATTCGCAATGTGACAAAATCAGGTGAAGAGTTTGTTAAAATTGAAATTTCCCCTTTTTTCCATGGATCATTCATTTATCATTTTTATTTCGTCTGCGATGTAATTTTAATTACCGAATAATTGTGATAAAAATATTTCTAGTTATAATTAATTATAATATACAATAAATAGTAATTAAAAATTGTGATTTATTTATTCCTTACGAATAAATTTAATCATAGTGAAAATATTAATAACAAATACATCGTATTAAAAATAAAAAGTGATAAAAAGATTTTTATTTTTTAGGCACATCTTGAAAACTAAGATCGAGCGGCGGTAATATGTATAAGGAAAAGTTGTTCGGAATGATGACCTTGACAACATATTTCAAGCTATGATTCCGAGTAATTATCTAATGAATAGTAGACATCCGTTTAAAAACAATTCTATCTTCGTAGCAACCATTGGTTATTTATATCCTCAAAAAATTCTTGGTATTAATTTTTTACGTCATTAAATTGGAATTGCAGACATTTCCAAATAAGCTTAAAGATGGAAATAACGAATGTAGACATTCTTTTGAAAAACAATTCTATTTCTTACAGCAATCATTAGGCAATCACTTTTAAAAAAAGATTTCTAGTATTAATTTACCACTCGATTCTGAGTTCAGAGAATAATTCGGTAAATTTTCAAATAAAATTAATAACAAGAAAACTAAAAAAAAAAAAAAAAAAAAAACAAGGTTGTATTACGACCGTTAAATTATTTACATCTTTAAAAAAAGAATGTCCTTAGTATCAATTTATAAGAATTTCAATTGTGAGAGATTTCGAATGACTCAATCCATGAGGCTGACATTCCAGCCCTTAAATGAACTCTTACTTACGGGAGAACGTACGATTGCGGATCCTTGTAAGCAGCACCATTTGGTACGGTGTTGGTACCGGATGTGCACGTACTCGAGACCGGATGACTTTGGGTAATCGGCGATGGTAATCGAGACGGTGGTTGTTGAGTGGTTGCCACCTCCACGCGACCGTGCGTCGTTGCTCCACCCCCGTTCTCATTGTGAGCCAATGTATCCGCGAAATACCTACCATGAAATAAGTAACCGTGCAATTACACATGTAAAAATAGACATTCATTCGAAATCAACGAAGTAAGTAATCTAGAATAATGAAATAAAAATTTGATTTTGTCGATAAAAACTTCAAGATATTATATTGTTTTTTTATTATTTGTTATTTTATTATATTTATGTTTGTATTATGTTATGTTATAAATTTATGATTTGCATAAGATATTAAATTATTATTATATTATTATGTAGTATATTAGTACATGATTTTATAATATTGAATTATATATATTATACTATAATATAATATATTTTTACATTTTACAATATTGAGACACTATCTTATAATATTGAATTATATTATATCATATTACACTATATTATATTATTATTGTTAGTATATTAGTACATTATTTTACGATATTGAGACACTATTTAATAAAAATCACTATTATATTATTATGTAGTATATTAGTATATTAGTACATTATTTTACGATATTGAGACACTATTTAATAAAAATTATTATTATATTATTATGTAATATATTACTATATTAGTACATTATTTTATAATACTGAATTATATATATTATACTACAATATAATATATTTTTACATTATTTTACGATTGAGACACTAGTTAATAAAAAGTATTATTATATTATTGTGTACATTAGTACATTTGTATTACTTTATAATATTGAATTATATACATTATATCATATTACACTATATTATATTATATTGTTACATTATTTTACGATATTGAGACACCACTATTTAATAAAAATTTAGAAATTTAGAAATATACGTTTAATTTTGCATTATTGCGAATCAAAAGTTCATAAATGATTTTATTATGAAGAAGGAAATTGCTATATAATAACTCAAACATTCTATTGCCTCATTAATTATATGATAAATCTATTCATAAATTGTTTTTCTATTTTAGCATGAAATATTGCGAAGTATGTAAATACAGGAAGATTTAGTATTTCCTCATTCTCTTTGAAAAGGATAATTACACTTAATAAATTCATCGATATCGATGACTATAAAAATAATATTGATAAATAATGACATATTTTTACCAATATTTACCTTGCGTATTATTAAGAGATAATTTGACCTTTGGTTTTCTTAATTGGGATTTCCCTACGAATTCCAATACAATCTAAACAGCGATTTACGTTGAATTTTATATTGCTTCTCGTAATTATGCAATTATCTTGTCGCGAATCTGCGGATCCTTGAAACTTATACCAATTACTATTGAATATTTTCTTGTTGTCTCGTAAGTTTTTTTTTTTCGTGCATTCCTTACAACCAAAGAAATATACCTCGCGTTCACGATAGTAAAAATAACTTTATTTATATTCAATCTATATATTATAAAATTTTACAAACCAGTAAAATATAAAAATATCGTGATATCATGGCATAGATTTTCAGAAAAGTATTTTTTACAAAATCATTTACTTAAGCTGAATTGAACAATTCATCATTTTAAATTTTACAAACCAGTAAAATATAAAAATATCGTGATATCATGGCATAGATTTTCAGAAAAGTATTTTTTACAAAATCATTTACTTAAGCTGAATTGAACAATTCATCATTTTCATTTCTATTCATTCAATTTTTAAAATTTCTCATTTTCTAGCTCTTAGTTTGTTCCAAATTTTTATTTTCACAATGGGAATAAAAATACCTGTTTTCTCGCATTTTGGGATTTTTATATAAGTTTCTTTTCACTTCTTTGAATCTTATGTAGAAAATCAAACTATAACCTCCAGCATGATAAAACAGAAATCATGATTAAACGATTGTCATTTCATTAATTCATTTAAATATAATTTATTTTTGAAAAATAAGTACTAGTTTAACTGGAATTTCCTGCGGAATTGAAAATATCAAAATATAAAATGAAATAATAATAACAAGTAATTTCTACAGATTTTAATCTTCTAATCTAAACAAATTCTTGATGTAATAAAAATCATTTGATTAATATTTCCAAATAAAATTTAATTCAATATATGTAAATTAATTATATAAATAATGTTCTTAAAAGACTTAAAGAACCTAAAGTCCTTATCTCTCTTCTCAAAAGTTCTTATTTATCCAAGCCTTGAAAATTTGACAAACTTACGATTGGAATTTTTCTCGTAAGACATAAATGAAAGTTATACGTAATAAACAATTTTCAGTTTCAATTAATCTGTAATTAAAAGATACAATTAATTTTTTCAAATAAAATAGTTTTAAACAATTGCTACCTAAAAATACTCTGAAGGTAATACATAAAATACGCAGGTAATACATAAAATACGACATACAATTTCCAACAATTTTAATGACACTAATTTTTCACTCAATCAATTTCCCCAAATAAAATTTATTTTTAAAAAATTATTCCTCAAAGAACTCTGCTTCTTTAAATTTTCAAATCTTCAACAGTTTCAATTTAATGTTCCTAGAAAATCGTAAGTTTTTCCAGTTTAAAATGATATGTTCCAGTTTATGTATAGTGGGTCACAAATAACATATTAGTAAAATCTCATGTTAGTTTAATTTACTACATACAGAAGTAATATGCACAATTTCCAATAATGAGTTATACAATAATAATACAAATAATATAAAAATTCAAAAAAGTATTGACACGTACAACTCCAATGCTTAATCGACATTTAGTGGTGAAAAAAAATACAGAAATTCTTTTACAAATACTGTAATGATATTGACACTAGAACAAGATATTATATTATGTTCAAATATATGGTAAAACTGCAAAAAAAGCCTCTCACATGTCATGTTCTTTCTGATTCTCGAATTTCTATTATTACTTGTATTATTATTGCATGAATCATTACTGGAAATTACTATTGTGCACATTACTTTTGTATAATCCAATTATATAAATTTTATTAATATCATTTATTTTCACAAAGATATAGCACAAAATCTAGGATCCAGTACCAAAGCCACATAAAAAAGTGGAATATGTTCACAATTAGCTTTCTTCATACATTGATACAAATTTCGTGTTTAAATCATTAATATTATTATTGCTTCATACGTTTGACAATGAGAATTGAGAATAACGAAGTATGATTTGTCATACACTTTTTAAATGCTAAAAAATGCTAGTGCAATTTATAATATATAAAATAATATATAAATATATAAAAATTCTTTTTATGTTACGATGAGTATTTGAATGGTGGTGACGATTATATTAAAAAAAAAAAAAAATAAATACATATACTAATTATAAGTAAAGATAGTATTTTAAATAAGTAAATATATTAATTATAATTAAAGATAATTTTTCAAAATACATTAAAATTATTATTTTAAACAAAGTATTATTTTCTAGACGATCCTCATATGTATAATAAAACGAAATTGGAAATAGTTTTCTAATGTTTTCAATCGCACTGAACTCTCCTCATTAATTTCTCCAAATTTTACTCTCTAAATTTTCAAATATTTAGCACCTTCAACTCGATATTTCTTGCGAAATTATACAAAGTGTCTTAATCTACAGATAGAGAAAAGAAAAAGTTGTTACATAAAATTCGTCAGTAACAATTTATTAGAGAATTATAAAAAAATACTGTATACATGAAATAGGTAGTTTTCTATTCCTATTTGATCACTTATTTGTTTAAAGTGACTTTACAAAAAAAAATTAGTACAAACGTAATTAGAAACGTAATTTTATCGAAATTTAGTAAAATTTTTAAGAACTTTATAGTTTTATTAATTGTTCATTGATATCAAGCTTGTGTCCAATGAGAATAGGATTTCGAATTCAAAATACATATTAGGTAATCACTTTTTATTGCGTTATTACAATTTATGACGATTAACGATAAAATGATAAGAATAATAAAACATGTGCTTAACTACGCTGACACGACAATACATCTATGTTTTGTAATAGAAAATGAGTCGCCATCTACTTCATGCACAAAACATTTATTTATATTCTATGACAAAACATTTGCTGGTGGATTTTATATAACATTCATTTCCTTCTGTAGATCCTCGCAATTACCAAAATGCCGATTATTTATATAAAATACGAAATAAAAACTGTAACAGACAGTATCCAATGGTTTCGATCGCAGTAAACATTAATTTTCCCAAATTTCACTAACCGAGGCTAACTTCTCCAAATTCTCAAATCATCGACAGGTTCAGCTGGATGGAAAATCGTGCATAAAACAGGGAATGAAAGCTATAATAGACGATTTCCAGCTGTTTTAATTCCATTGACCCGCGGCGCAACAGGGATCAAGGGTGAAGAGCTTCCATTCGGTTGATCCGTGAATGAAATCTGTTTCTGAGATCAGCGCGGGGCTTTTAATGGAACGAATGCGTTACCAGGCCTAACGCGGCAACCACTGATCCCATCAATTCCGTCCAGCCTGTCTCTGTCATTATATCATTACACCTCAGCGGTCGCTACCACATGATATCTGTCTGCTTTTTCTATACATAGTGCACGTATATACGTGCAACACTTTGTATTCGACAGTGTACTCCAACGACAATGTACGTGTTCATTTCTGACACATGCGTACGCCGTCCTTTTTTTTTTTTTCCTTTTCTCCGCGCGCGTTTTCTGCGCGTACACTGTCGGCCATAAGTTTCGGATTATCTGTTTTTATCGCGTGTTTTCGGATGCACTGGATGAAAGTGTTATTTCGTACACAGCGCCCCGTGAGCTATAAATATTGAGAGGAGGAACACGTTGATAAACACGTAGATTGAAAATCATTTGCGAGAAATATTTACGAGAAATATGGTTGCGCACGATCATTTTGCTCGAGTGTGTACTCGGGATGGAAATTTTTTTTTACAACTGTACTGGAGTAATTACATATATTTCTTCGTCAATGATTTGAATATTGTATGTATAGTGTGCGTGCGAGTTATTTAATAATCTAGTTATTAATAACTTCATAAAGGTAGTTTGATGGAAATTTTTTTATTATATTTTTTTCTATATATTCTTTGTAAATCAGTTGTGATTTAAATAATATAGATATGTGTATTATACATATATGTAGTTATATGGAATTATAATATATATGTAATATACTTACATACTTATGCTATAATATATAATAATCTAATTATTAATAATTTAATAAAGGTAGTTTGATGGAAATTTTTTTTATTATATTTTTTATATATTCTTTGTAAATCAGTTGTGTTTTTTATATATTCTTTGTAAATAATATAGATATGTATATTATACATATATGTAGTTATATGTAATTATAATATATATGTAATATACTTACATACTTATATTATAATATATAATAATCTAGTTATTAATTTCATAAAGGTAGTTTAATTGAAATTTTTTTATTATATTTTTTTCTATATATTCTTTGTAAATCAGTTGTGATTTAAATAATATAGATATGTATATTATACATGTATGTAGTTATATGTAATTATAATATATATGTAATATACTTACACACAATATATTGTATGAATTATTGAATTTTATATAACATTTTTGACAAATAAATAAATTGAAGATTTTTTTATAATTTTGAGCTACATAATTGCGAGTATTTATGTATTTACGTTGTCGGTATATATGTACAAAATGCGTAGTTACAAATGTGTGGTTCGTATGTTATATGAATCAGAAATATAAGAGATTAATTTAAAAGTAGGGGTAAAATTTTTATTGATGGAAAGAATTATTGACGAAAATTGATGTAAACAGGATGGTAAGTAGAACGTATCGACGATGAATGTTGGAAATGGAGATCTGTTTGCATAATGTTACACATGTGTGTCTTCGTAATGTAGGCGTTAACGATGGCTTCCCCATCGTTGAAGTCAAACATGATTGTCATTGAGCAAAAACAACCTAAATCCTCTAATCACTAAATAACGATCAAAGCAACTTGATTTTACACAATTTTGTCTGAGCAAATTTTAACATTCTGTCAATTAATTAACATTAAAATCATTATCGCGACCATGCGAAAAACATAGAAGTTCATTTACTAATACTTGAAAGCGAGTTTAAAGTTTAATTCATTGCGTCTTAGGAATCGTTAGTTAGTTTATCATTCCCATCAGCAGTCATTTTCAAATATTTGAAAAATTCCGCACAAACACAAGCTATCCTCGAAACTGGCTAATCAACTAATTAGCTTCCAACTGAAAATCAAAGAATTTCACGTGACTCTGATCTTTCTTGTTCAAATGTAACGACCTTGAATCTTCAATTCGAAATTTTTGTTACTTTGCAGGAATACAAATTCAAGATACAAACATTTAAATTAAAGTGTATGAAAGAAATAAAAGTCACTTACGTGGCTGGTTGTTCGCTGTCGCTGTTGATAAAATCTTCCAACTGCGAGAAGTCCAGGGCCTCATTGTCTATGCCTCCGACGAAATCGCCCCGACCTGAATAACATACGAAGAATCCAAGAGTCATTCGGTTCTGCTTGTTTGTGATTCTTATCTGACAACGATCTTAAAAAATCATGATAACACGAATCTCGTCTAAATATATCCTTCCAGGAATGTCTTAGAACACAATGCGAAGATATAACGGAATACAGAATGTTTCGTTATAATGTTTCGTCAAGATGACTTGTCCTTTCTTTAAATTTATTTTACGTTTCCATCCCAATTTTAATTCAAAATGTAATTTCTTTTTAATATAAAATTTATTTATAAATTTAATTCAATTTTCATTCTTTTCGCGATTTTCATATTATCGAAAAACGATAGTACAAACGTGTTCTTTAATATCGTATAAAAAAATAAATAATTATCCTCATAATATGTTAAGAGCAAATATGAAATATTTTGCACTAAAGTTTATATTTCTGGCCATTCTATTTAAGTTTCTCTCAACTCCACGACGTTAATCTTAGTGTACAGATTCTTTTGAAAATATTATACAACTTCAAATTTAATTATGAATCACATTTGTATAAACTATTTTATAGTTGTTACAAAATCTCTTTCTTAAGTAAGTTACACGTATCCTGGTTTATGTAGAGTGGTACAATCGAAGAATAGAAGATGAAAAAATAAGTCGGTAAGAATAAAATCGAGTTTGATAATTCATTAAGTATGTTTGAATTTAGCTAATTTCGTACTTTCGACAGATACACGACAGAACACAGATACATAATCGATACGAGGATATTTTACGTGTATAAACAAGTGAAGAATAAAATTTTTTCATTTAAGAAAAAAATTCATTGTTTTTAACTGTTGACTTTAAATATATTTCGTTGAAAATTGACTTAATACACGTATACTTAATAAATTTTCAAACTCAATTTTCTCGAAAACGAAGGCTTCAATGAAAAAATTTTATTCTGTCTTTCCCACTCATTTTTTCACATAGAACTCCACTTATTACTCGACCACTTGCTACAAGACATCATGTAAATATAGGGTGTAAATAAGGTAAATTTATTTATCTCTTTATACATTGACAGTACTTTTGGATGCTTTTGATTGACAAAAATCTAAAAATTTAATACTAAATAAGGAGTACGTAATAAATTAAGAATGCATTCATTTTTAAATATATAAAATATAATACTTATTATAATTATTATAATATATTTATTTATATACTTTTAATTATTTATTTATTTATTACTTTTAATATACTTCTTATGATATATTTTTAAATATATTAAATATAATACTTAAATAAATTTGATATATTTATTCAATATATCATAATGTGTTATCTCCTTTGAATCTTTAATAAGCAAACCAATTATTTTATTATTGATTACAAGATTATCTCTGTACAATGCTTTGGTAAATAAACATTCGAAAGATTGATACTGCTTTATATGAATGTTTACATCGTTTTAATGTGACAATCGTGATGACTCGAAAAGACGTATAAATTTGAACGTTTAGGAATTACTGGAAGAGAGAATGACAATGTTCAAACATTCTTATTTTGTGTATTGCTTTAAACTTAAATACAGTAATCATTTTTTCACGTAGAATCCATTCGATTGTACCGTCAATTACTCGATTATCTTGTATATCCGAGTGATTTCTTGCAGCGAGCCGCCTTTAGGAATGAGGATGCAAATAATTCAGACATTCTGTTAGAGAGATACATCGGTATGTGTAGGCATAACAAAGCGTTACAGGTGAGAACCGATAGAAGCATGAATATGTATATTTTACCACGAGATCTTTGTAATGATCTTTCAACTGAACACTCATAAGGGATTGATTTCAAAATCATTCGACAATGCAAATGTCAATTGTACATCTTCTTGGAATTCTACGTTTTGCTATGTTTCACTACCAACGTTTCTATTTCTATTCCCTACTTTTTATAGAGTTGTTTGTTACGTGAATCTAAAAAAAAAAACTCAAGCTGAGCAGCTCCAATCTTTCTTAAGTTACACGATCAGTTGCATTTATTGGAAAACTTGAAACACATTTTATTTTGTATATTATAGTATTATTCTATATTATTTTATTAATATATTATAGTATTATTATTAGTAATGGTAATATTTAAAGCTGAGATGTTTAATGATATTATTATTAAAAAGAGTAAATAAAATTATTGTTTGTATGCATTTGATTCTCTTTTTAATTATTAAAATTTCTTTATTTTCCCACAATATCAAATCTCAGCAAAGTTCCAGTGTAATTGTTTTCAATTGTTTTGATTAATAAAAGAAAAGTTTTGTTTAATTGATTTACTATTAATTATAATAAGTTTCTTTAAGATGCAAAGAGAAAGTCTTTTAAGGCAAAGAATTAATATATTAATGAATAAACAAATAGATTAATAACAAACTAACTACAAAATGAAAATTTGTATTAAATATTCGTAGGCGATTTATTTAATACTGAATCTAATACATAATATATTTAATATTTAACCTCATATTGTAGAACTTTGTTTATCCAATCCCCAATTTATTAAAAGTTTTGATTAATATTTTTGATTAACTAAACTTTTGTTGATTAAATTCATTTATGATGAAATTCACAAGCTTCTGTGTAAATGAAAAATAATATGTAGTGCAGGAAAAGAGTAAGCTCTGATTATATTTGTATATTTATAAATTGTTTGTCTCTTGACAAATGCATAAACAAATAGATGATAGTCTACTACAAATAATACTATAATATTAAATACTAGATTTAGTAATTAAGTAAAATTTGCTCTATTTTTATAATAAGTGAATTAATAGATGTCCTAATTTTTATAGTCAAATTTACATCAACGATAGTTATAATTTAAACAAAACAATGTTTGCAGCATAATTGCTATTCACTACTTTCTAAGCGATCTATATTTAAAAACAGACTATATTTAACGTGTTATTAGTGACGTGATAAAGAGTAAAATATTATAATTACGCTAATTACTCGATTGCTATAGTTGTCATTTCTAGTCATTAAAAGAAAACAAGTTGGTTCAACCAATTCTTATAAGTTATAATTGCTGTCTTGTACAATTGTTTTATTACTTATAATTGTTATTAGTTTCTATGTAACCCTGTCATAAAATTAATGGAATCATGTATTCATTTTCGATATTTTTTCTCTCTGGATATACAGTTGACGACATATTTTCATATTTTTCTCCATTGTTAAAAAATTTAACTTTGCCAGAAATTTGTTTCATTCCCTAAATATTATAGTTACGTATTATAATAATTAAATAAATATTATACTTTATACTACAAGTATCATACTTTCAATATTTTATATATTTTTGCATATTGCTTGCAATCTGCATCTCTTCATCTTCGAATTTTCAATAAATGCATAAAAATCTGCAGTCTACTCATGATATACTATAAGCTTGATCATTTTGAATTTTAAAACATTAAAATCTAAGCTTAAGAAAATATTGAATAAAAAATTGACAGATTATTATAGATCAAAGGTTCTAAAATTATCTTCATTATTATTATTCAAACTATTTTTTGTGAATTATGTCAACATTTAATTACTTGAAGTTACACATTTAATGAATTTCTGCTTTATATGGCTGCCATTTTGTCAAAAAAAAAAAAACTTTTTTACTTCATTCTAATTCACTATTACAAAGATGAAATCCATCTTTGACTTTTCTGTTTTAAATAACAATGCAAATCGTGACAGCTTACAAATAAATTGCAGAAAACATACAATAATTAGATTAAGAATAAAGATAATTGTACAAAATTTCAAAAAAAATATAATGAATATATTTAATATATTTTAATACAATTAATATAACAACTGAAAAAATCTTACAATTTTTTATTATATAAATTAATAAATCACCTAAATCGGTGAATCTCTGAATCAAAATACCCTCTTAATATTTTATATCTTGCATCTAGTTACAATGACATTTTTATTAAATTTTTGTATCATTAAATAACTGTTTACGTATTGTGGATATAGAGAGAAGGAAAATAAACTTTCTTGTGTGTACATACATATATATATATATATATAAGTATATAACTCAATTTTCTCGAAAATAAAGGCTTTAATAAAAAAATTTAATTCTTTTTTTCAACTCATTTTTTCACGTGGAATTACTCACTACTTAGTTGTATCATCAGTTAGGATAACGGTACGCACCTTGCACGTACATATATTCTGCATATTTTTGAATCATCAAATAATCCCATAAACGCATAAAAATCTGCAATCTAACGATAAAAATGTAATGTTAGGAACAACTAATTCAGTAATGGTCTCTAACGATCCAAGGTGTACAAGAGAAAGTGCGAATTCATCGAGTGAGAGAGAATTTCACGGAGAGTTAGAGCTGGAAAACAATCCAGTCAAAGGATCAAAGTGTCAATATATATGTACGTTGTTCGTCGCGACCAGAATTTCTGGAGATCGCATAAATTCCTTCCTATGAAACCACCTGCGGTGAGCGTAATAACGTTGGCTTCTGATTTACTGGGTTCCACTTGAACGAGAAACGTTCGATTGACGATCAGTATCGGAGAGAAATCTTGATCTAAAGTTTCACCGTCGTGCCACGAAACTTCTAGTTTCGTAAACAAACATACTCCGTCACTGAGAAGAAATAATTGATACTTTATTGGTCTGCCGTTGGAAAAAATGCGAAAGTTCTAACATTAGAAAATTAAATTTGAGAAGAACATTATGCAATCGTTTTAATAGATGTAATGAGAAAGTTTGTATGAACGTTTTGAATGAGTCATATGTTGCATTAGAAGAAAGTGACTTTTACTTAAGAATTTCATTTAATTTTGTTAGATACTGGATGAAATATGTCAGGTTAGTAACGGAAATACAGCGAAATTTTCTTGTAGAAAAATATATTTTATATTCATATTAATCAACACTTTGAAATCATTATGCACTCTTTTTCTCGAACAGCAGTTGATACTTCTATTTAGTTTCACTAATTGTAAGTGGGAAATTTGCAAAATTTTCAAAATCTCATTTCAGTTCAAAAATTTTTTTATCTAGAAATTAAT